ATATATATATGTATCTTCATAGGTGAAGACTGTCTCCTTCTGCTGGTCAGAGGCCTGGGGTCTTCAGTGAGTTTGAAATGGCAAATCAAACCTGGAACACAGCACCGTGCAATGGGTTAGACTGGCTGCACGCCCGTGACACGGCAGGATCCCACAGGTCCCTCTGTCCCAGCCAGCACTGATTTTGCAAAATGCTTGAAAACCACTGTTTGTCAGAGCTGCACTTTGGTGGGGAAAGAATGTTTTACTGGAAGAGCCTCGCAGAAGCGCGGCTGCCTCTGCACCTCAGGACTCACCTAAAGGCTACGTGCTGCTATCCCAGCGGCAGTGGGCCAGCAAACCCCACTGCTTTTGTGGCCACTTCAAAGGTCCTGTCTGTGACCCCCCCCAGAAGGGGCTCTGGATCTTAAATCCTAACCTTGGCTGGTTCTGTTTAGCTGGTTATGAACTCCTGCACCTGCAGATCACAAGCCGTGGGCCTGCGTGCTTGTAACACCCCCACAGTGCCAAACGTACGAGCCACCTACCACCCTGTGCCGTGACCACTGAAGCCCTAAGCCTGCCTCTCTTGTGTTCACGCCCTTCTGCTCCCTGTGAAAAGGGAGGCTCAGTCCTAAGGACAGAGAGGAAAAAGCTGAGCCAGAAGCAGGCTAGTTTGAGTGGGGCCTGACAAGATTTTCCAAGGGCTGCCACCCACACGTAGGAAGCCCTGTTTGGCTGCATGTCTTGCCAGGGTTCATCCCTCCTCAGATCAACAGCGATTTCCTCGCAGACAAGGCATGCTCCAGAAATCAGTAAGTACAGGAGCAACATCTAGCAGCTCCCTCAGGACATCTTGACCATAACCTAGCAGGTTCCTTTGCCTGGTGACGTGCAGTTTCCTTCTGAGGTTCAAAGGAAACCGTGGGATAAATCCAGCTTGGGGAGAATACCGTGGATTCCCCAAGGCAGTTTAGAGGGACTAACGAAGAGCAGGATTTCGGCAAACAGCCAAAGAAACAGATTAGTGGTTAGACAGCTGGGCAGCATTCAGAGGAAAGAAGTTCATCTGAACACTGATGACTAGGTGGTGCTCAAGCCTCTACTACCTGAAAATAATTTTGCATGTTTTGCTTCTGCTCCTTCAAACCCAGGAGGCATCAGACCGGCTGTTTAAGGCGATGGCTCTATGGGAGCCATCTCTGTGGGAACCGGTTTTCTCTAACCAGATGAATCAGAGCCTCAGAGACCAGTCAGGAATGTGTGTGAAAACTTCTCATCGAGAAGCAAAGGGTGAGGTTCTCCTGACTCAGAGCTACTGACAAACCTGACCAGCACTCAGAGCTGTTGGAAAATCCCCTTCAGGGGCTACTTACAACAACTCCACTTCCTTAGGTGGTATACGTGTGCAGAGGGGCTCACACTATTGTCGAGGGACTTATGGTGACCTGGCCTGCTTTCTGCAGAGGAGAGAAGCCAGCATTAGTACAGGGTTAGAGGACAACAGCATCAGGACACGATCTAGTGGGAAGGGAAGCAGCTGAGAACTCTCAGGAACACAAGAGGAGACACACTGACATCTTGGAGTGATAGGCTCCTGCTCCTCCATCTCATCGCTCCCCGAAAAAGGCCCAAACCTCCCAGGAAAGGAGCTAAGCAGGATCTGCAGCAGAGCTCCATCCATCCCAGGAGGTTACGTATGTACCCCAGCCCATGACAGCATTAAAGCTCCTGTGTGGGCAGCATCCCCTCCTGGTGTAGCCTCCAGCACTGCAGGTCCTCCCCAGTGCATCTCCTCAGGGATCTTGGCCACCACAGGGGACGCTCTGACAATAGAGGGGCTTTCACCTGCCCCAGAGGAGGCAAGTCTCTGCAAGAGGAAAGGTCACTTCCCCACAGTGACTCCTAGCCCAAAAGCAGCATCTTCAGTCCCCCCACAAGGGGCAGTGGCTTGAACCGGGGAGGCAGTTGCAGGAACAGGCAAAGTGAAGAGAGTATTTTGGCTGCTTGCACTTACTGCAGAAATGTACTGGCTGTTTGTGAACCTGGGTTTCTCCTCCATTGCAGAGCTATGTTGCGAGCCTAGGGGCATGTAGGGGGGTGAGCCCACGTCTTCACAGAAGCTTTCTTGTGGGACGCTGGAGACGCAGCCGCTGTCGGAGCCGCTGGAGCCGCTGCCTGACATGCAGTGCGATGACTCTGAGCTCTCTGTTGCTGGGGGAAGAGAGGAAGGTCACTCTGATGACTGTGAATTTGGCCTACGTGACCTGTGCCACATACACATGATAATGTATCTGTTTGCAGAGGCATTGGCCACTCAAGCCCACAGATAAGCCACGCTCCTGTCTGGGCCTCCTTAAAGCCATAGGCAACAAAATAACCCAAGGAAGCATAGCAAATGATGCTGGAGACTGGTATAGACTGGCCAGGGAAGTTCACACAGGGGAAGCCAAGGGGTCACTGGACCAGGCTGCCAAGAGCAAGGGACAGAGTGCCTCGTAGCAGAGGGGCAGGCAGGCAGAGACATGAGCACTGGTCTCCAAGGCCACAGCAGCCCCAGTATGCGGCATCAAGCCCTCCACTGGGATAGCTGCAGATCGGCGAGCTCTTCACTAATCCCTGCGTCTGAGCTAACTCCCCCCATGAAAGCTGAGACAGAGCTGGTGTGGAAGGGCAGGGCCCTCCTTGCCCCAGTCTGGCTGTGGGGCAGGGACCGCCATGACCCCAGTGAGCCTGGTCTGACCGCACAGCGCAGAGCAAGGTGTGGGGACAAGCCCGCACATCCCGGGGCGTGTTGCAGAGCAGCGGGCTCGTACGTACTCAGTGATGGCTGGCTGCTCGTCTCATGCTCCAGCTCATCTTCCTCGATGCAGGTGCCGATGTCAAAGGGGCGGCTGGGGGCCAGGACGCCTGGCAGCAGAGCCTGGTCCATGTACATGTGGAGGTTGAGGGGCCCCAGCAGGGAGGAGGAGGAAGGGCTGTATGCAGTGGGAGTGCTGCCAGCGGAGAGCTGCGCCTGTGTCCTCTTGTACGGGTTGGAATGGTCAAACAGAGACACCGCAATTGATGCTCTGGTCCTGGCGCCTGCCAAAAAACACACCAAAAAAGCCCTGAGCACCAGTTCTGTCTAGCTCACACGGAGCAAGGGGGCAGGCACAACTGGCACTCACCTCTGCCTTTCATGATGTAATCGATAGCACGGTCATTGATAGCTGCCTCGCTGGGTTTGATATCCAGGAACGGCTTGTTGCCCACGCCCATGGAGACCATCTCCTGCATACGGATTTCTGGAGGGGAAGAGACCCGCAGCCATATTGTGAGGTTGCTCCAACCTGCCCCACAGGTGCTAGGCAGCCCCAGGCCAGAGCACTCCTGGGCCAGGCTGCTTCTAAACTACTGAGATTACATCTGTTCTCTCCTTGCTCCCCAGTCCTGAGGAGTCTCCACAGACAAGCAATCATTCCCTGCTCTGGCCAAGCAGCTCAGTGCCATGCCACCTACAAGAGTCCTGCCAAGCGGGAAGCCTGTGGGGTGGAGAGGAGGGACTCAGCCAGACAGTTGCCACTCCAGTAGTGGCCTAGATCATGGGGAGAGCAGTGAGCCTTTCAGGAGCACAGCCCACACTCACAGGGCAGGGAACCCTGTGCTAGCATCTCCCGTTTCTCTCATGGAGTCCAGGTGGGTGTTTACTGTCACAGAGAGCTTGAACGGATCAAGTTCCCCTGCCCCTCATCCCCAGGAAGGGACACGCTCAGCCAAGCCCAGCACATGCTCCTGAGGCTGCATGCTGGCACACAGCTGCTCACTGCACAGAGCTGCCTGGTAACAGGCTCCAAACCTACTCAGGACAGCACGAGCTGAACAGGGCTCCCGCACCTTTTGCGGCACAGACGCCCTGGGAAGGAATCACACCTTTATTGCGGGCTGCCTGCTGCCACAGGATCTTGGCAATGTCACTGGTCCAGGCCTGCTTAGTCTCAGCTGAGCTGGCCTGGAGGATGTAGGTGTCACTGGACTTTCGCCTTCGGAACCAGATCTCAAAGCGCAGGCCGCTGTCTCCAGAGTTCTCCGTCAGACCGATGTCTGCAGTCTGCCAGAAAAAGGAAGAGCAAAGCATCAACTGGGGCTCCACCAAGAGCAGAAAAGGTAAATTCTGCCTGTACTCTGTGCCAGAGCTACCCCTAGCTTAGCAGACCCAATGAGAAGGAGCCTGAGGGTCCAGACAGGAGCAGGTACAATACGGACACAGCTGAGCAGAGACAGGCCAGGCAATTCCCAGTGCTTCATCCAGAGTCAGCACTACCTCCCTGCCACACACACACTGCCCTTCCCTCACATTCTGCATCCCTCAGAAGACCTTGGCCCCACATCTCACAGCACAGAGGGGGCCCAGGCATTAATGTGTGAAGTATTCCCTTCTGGCTTCACTGCATGGCTTGGAGAAGGCTTAGCAGTGGTGGGAGCAGCTCTTCTGCTGAACATACTCCTGCTCCCCGTTTCAGATCCATGTGTCCATGGTAAAACCAGCCAGGGACATCTCCTGCACAAGAGGGAGCTGCAGGGCTGCCCTTACCTTGAAGGAGCGCTTGTAGATATACACATCAAAGCCACCCTCGATCCTCTTGGGCTTGCTGAACAGGATCAGGTCCTCAAAGAGGAAGACGTGTCGCTGGCACTTCCTACGTCCCAGCCAGATGGTGAACTCATCCTGCCGCACCAGCTGCCCCTGCTCCTTCAGGTTCACCTGGACACAGGGAACATCCTGGTTAAGACCCCAGCAGGATCAGCTCTACACAACCACAGGCCTTGGACATGGAGAGCAGGGTGGCTGCCCATAGGGCTGTGGCCCAGGTGGTGAAGAAGTGGCAGCTACCTGTCATGGTAGGAGGACTCTTAAAGAGGTAGGGCTGCGTGGCACTGCTAGAAGCCACATGAGGCTGAAACAACTGGCGCAGAGCTCAGGGGAGAGCTGCACATCTCTCCTAGGCCTGGCACACAGATGACCCTCTGCTGTCACCTTGTGCAGATCTGTGACAAACCTCTGGGGTGACAACTGGAAGCAGCAGCCAGAGCATTATCTTAGGGGGAAGAAGAGAGCTGAAGAGGAAAGGAGTCCCGTCAAACTGCCAGGAGCACATCTGGGTCAGAAGGCCAGTCCCTCAGTGCTTCCTGTCCCAGATCCATCTTCCTCTACCCTGAGCCCTGTGGTTTCTCCTCCTCCAGTGCTGCACTTCGCATGCCTCTCCAAGTCCCACCTAGCTGATTTTGGCCTACCCCTGGCATCAGCATCAGTTTGAATTCCTTCTTGGAAACTGCCCGACCCTCTTATCACCAGCTCAAAAGAGGCAGAAGGGCCCAAGGCAGCCTGCAGGACGCCATCTGCAAGGGCTGCCAGGCTGCCTCACCTCACCAGTAAACACCTGGGAGCATGTTTGTGACAAGCAGCTCACCCAGCTCAAGTAACAGCATCCAGGCTGTCTGTCCTAGTGGATCAAGGAGACCTCCAAGCCCTGCTGTTCCCCTGCCCTGTACCTCAGTGGTCCTGCTATGCTGGACTGGCAGACGGCACCCTGATCACTGTGGGAATTTGAGGGGAGGCTCACCATACAATCCAAAGACCCCAAGTCTAGAGAAGGGGAAGAAGTGTGGCTCTGCCCCCCTGGACAGGGGAGGACACTGGAACGTACGTCACAGTCACGGATGGCATCCATGGCCAGCAGGTCATTTCCATGTCGGAGTTGAAACTTCACCATCTCCTCAGCCGCACGGAGGTAGCCCAGCTCCTGCTCTTGTGCCTCACTGCACTCCTTGATCAGGTCCTTCAGGAGCAGAGCGTATTTGCTCATCCGCTGGATGGGTTTCAGCAGGTAGGAGGCCAGGTCCATCTTATCCCCAAGCTGCACCTGCTTGAACTGAGAAACGCAGCAGAGAGTGAAGGCAGCGGCTTCCTGTGGAGAGCCCCATGCCCCCAGGCAGGCACTGACACCCACAGCTTTCCTGACTGGGGTACTCTGTTCACTCTGCAGGGAAACGCAAGGCCACAGGACCAATGCTGCTGTACTGGGCTCCTTTCCAAAGCACTTGCCCCATCTCTGCCCCTGTCCCCCCACATACACTTGTGCAGAGAGCTACACCAGGAAAGCAGAGGTAGTGCTGAGCATGCCTCAAGCAGGAAAGCTGGGCTTGTTTAAACAGATCAGTGACCCAAATACCAAGAGCAATCGTAATGTAGGCAGTGGAATTTACCTTAAAGAAGGTATTCCCGTGGCTGGCCAGCAGCGAGTCCGACTTTGGCTTGTTCTTGCTATACAATGCATACATCCCAAACTGGTCTTTCTGCAAAAAAGAGATCCCTGCGTGAGACCAACACACACCCAGGACACAGTGACAGCCATGCCCTGGGTTGGTTACTCTAGTACTTCTGCTTCTCCAAGGCTGCACCAGAGCCTCCTATGGCATCAGGAATGACTTTGCTTTAAGTTCATTAAGAGCCAGGGAATGTTCTTGTCTTCCTACTCCTACAGTAGCCATTACTTTTTAATCCATTGTCCTGTTGCCCCTTACATACCCCAACAGATACCATTTCCCTGGTAGCAGCAAACGTGCACAGGGCAGCTGAGCTTAAGACTGATGCCCCATGTTTCTCCCTAGCAGCTCTTTTTCAACAAGAGCAGCAGGTCTGTACCCCTCCACTCACTGAAGTCCTTCTGCACTGACACTACAGACAGAAGACAGGGTAAGGGATGGACCTGCAGAAACAGGTAGGTTTTAAGGAGCAGACATTTTGCTTCCCTGGCAGCGTCTCTTGGTAGCAAAGAACAACAAGCAAGGCAAAGGGCATCTGCTGCTGCCTGGGCTCAGCTTCACAGAGCCATCCCAGTCCAATCTAGCATTTGAGCTGGCAGGGGACAAACCAACCCAGCACAGGGTAGTCCTCCCACTCCCAAAGAGCCACAGCCCGCTAACACGCAGGTGAGCAGCCAAACATGCAGGCACTGCTGGGCATAGGAGCCAAGCACGTGTCCGGAGGAGCCCGACTCCAGGGGGAAGGTGCTGATGCCTTACGTGTCGGAGGAAGCAGTGGCTGACCCGCAGTGGGTGGTTGCAGCAGCTCTCAAGCTCTCGCAGGAAGTACTGGCTGTGGAAGTCGTAGAGTTTCTCCAGGTTCCCAAAAATGACACTGCGCTTCCCACGCAGGTCCTGGGGGAGGTCGAGGCGCTCCATCTCAGGGAAGTAGCTATCGATGATGTAGCAAAGCGACCTCACATATTCCCGCTCCGTGGTTACCATCTCATCAATGATGTGCCGCAGCTTGCTGCAATAGGAAGCACTCAGCCTTGAAGGGACCCAGACTGCAGCGGGGCAGCAGCAGTCTAAGAGTGCCTGCAAAACACTGGGCCATCCCTAGAGAAGCTCTCCCTAAGACCCAACACAGAGATGAGATGATTCCTTAGCCCCATCCAAGCTCAGATTCAGAACTACCTGAGATAGCTCTGATCCTGAGCACTGACAAAGCTCGTGGCTGATCCAAGGAACTCTGTCAACTTCTCTGTTCAGGAAAGGTGAGCCCCAGGTTGGCTGTGGTCCTGACCCAGCCTCAGCAGGACACACACCCCTGGGTCCGCCCAGCCCCTGCTCTGGACAACAGGCTGCTCCACAAACTGCTGTGCTCCTGAAACAACAGGGACAGCAGAAGTCACGATAACTTCTGTGAGGAGGAGTTGGACTGATGACTGGATGCTGTGAGATGCAATGTTAACCCTGGAAGAACAGGAGCTCTGGACCCAGGTGTTGTTGGCCCTGTCCCAGTAAAAACGAGAGTGGGAAACAAACCTCCTATCACTTCATCAGCAAACAACAGTTCCTAGCACGGGTAGCTCCGCATGTCTCTGAAAGGATCGTTCTCAGGTACTCAAGGTTTCCACTGCGAGGCAGTGCAGCACCAAACGTAACTACTCCAACACGTGCCTGCCTTCCCTGCCTCTCAGCGTTCCCCTAAGCCAACTCCTCTGGCTGTTCAGAAGACCAAAGAGAGCAGGACTGCTTCAGCACCCACGGACAGGAGGACTGCTGCACCACTCCCTTGAGAAGCAAAGCAGTTAGCCTCCTACCTCCTGGTGTTCATCCCCTGCCATAAACTTTCCTGACACATGCTAGGATATCAGAGGCCCCTTCCAGAAGATTTCACTGTCCCCAGCCATCCTATCCAGAGCAGAAACAGTGGAGGAGCTCTGTGGTCTCCCCACATCCAGCACTTGTTTTTCATCTCTGCCACCAGTTGTGGTTTTTTGTTGGTTTTTTTTGTTTTGTTTTTGTTTGGTTGGTTGGTTTTTTTGTTTGTTTGTTTGGGTTTTTTGTTGTTTGTTTGTTTGGGTTTTTTTTAATCATTTCCAGCAAGAGCAGCTGAAAGACCTGCCTGGTGACCCCCTTTCAAGAACAGCTCACATCCCTGGGCCCTCCATAGCTTAGGCATGTTGCAGTATGACAACAAAGTCGAGATCCTCAAGGACAGAGAAAGAAAAGAACAAAAGCCAGCTGTTGGTCACCCAAACAGAGCCCTCAGCCCCAAAGGGCAAATACAAACACGTGAAGCTGCTGTCACAGGGTACTGGAAGTGCCTCCCTACCGGTCTGGGTACAGCACCCCCCAAAAGCATGCAGGATGATGCACTATGCTTCTGCTCTCCTACTGCACCTGTACCACTGGTTTGCTAGGTCCCCAAACACTATGTTTCTGCAAACCCTCGTCCTCCAATGCCAGCAATGTTCAGAGACTCCCTTTCCTGCCTGGGAACTGCTCTTTCCCCTCTTAGGGAGGAACCATGCTGTGGGGGAAGAGCAACAGATCACATTTCCCTGCCTCCCCCCAGAAGCAGGTGCCAGGGTACACGGGGACATCCCTGTGGGCCCGCTCAGTGCCACACACGCGTGTGCAGGGAAGCTGGAGCTACATCTCCATCTACCTGCCCCATACCCATTGCCAAAGTAACTGTCACTGCAGAGCTCGTCACATCTTTGCTGGCTGCCTTTTCACCACCCTGAGGACCGAAGCACTGAATGTCACAGTCACTTACCTGCCCCAGCTCTTGGCTTCTGACACGGAGAGGCAGCCTCTCTGTCCCTCCAGCAGGCAGTCTGCAGCCCAGCTGTGAGTGGCGTGCTGCCGCAGCGCGAAAGTCCTGTCTACCAGCTCAGTGCTGCTCACCTCCAGCCCCTTAATAAAGACGCCAGTGTTGCCGTATCTGGCCGGCTCGCTCAGCGTCCTCTGGCAGCCTGACCACAAGCTCTCACCGCAGGGGAGGTCAAAGCTTTGGGCCTTCCGGAGCATCCTCCTGGGAGGTGGCTTCCCAGAGGCTGGAGTGGAGGTGCAGGATGGCTTCACCTCCAGGGTTTCTAATATGCTCTCCAGGTTTGGCTTTTCTTCAGGCAGCTTTGGAGACTTGGAGGCACCGCTGGCAAAAGAGACTCTGCTCGAGTGAGGACCAGGGCTGAGAGTAGCTTGGCAGGCAAATTCTTCCCCAGCACTGACATCACCAGGGCAGCTCAGGGAGGGTGAGGGAGCCTTCTCCTTAGTTCA